CCTAAAAAAAAAAAAAAAAAAAAAAAAAAAAGCAAAAAGAAAAAAGAAAAAGTTAATATTCGTTCCCTTTGGTGTCCCCAGAAAGCTTCCATTTTAAAACAACAAATAATCTTATCTATTCTCAAACCGATTTATTTATTTATTTTTCTCCTAATTTTTTTAATAATTATATATATATATATATTATGCATTTATTATATTAGTTAAGAAGAAAAAGTATTCCCTCTCCATACTTCTTTCTCCTTCTTCCATCGTCGCCGCAGTTGCACGTCCGATCGCCACTGCCTGCTCTACCGTTCTTCTTCTCTCTTATCTCCCTTGCTCCGCCAAACGGCACCTACACACCGACCTCCATTTCTGATTTCTCTTCTTCTATCCTATCTTCCTCTCTGTATTGCCGTTCTGGATTACCGGCACGCCCCCACGACAACCCCGTCTTCTGCTGCAGCTCTCCATCAATCGGTCGAATTCTACCTGGTTCAATTCTTTTTCCTTTTTTGTTTTATTTGTTCTTTTCGATTCTACCGAATAGGATGAAGTTGGAATCAGGCCAATTATGATTTTAAATCCTGCTGACCTACTTTGGATAGGGATGTTTTTTCGGATCAAAACCAGATTTCAAATTCTATTCTCTGAATTCATTCAAGCATTGAAAATACTGATTTGAAATCCTTCTAATCCAGGGTCCGAACACAGGGTAAGAGGTTTCAGCGCCAATGGCTTTTAGAAGCGTCTCATTCCCATCTACAGCTCCCATTTCTCATGTTCAGTAAGCTACTCTTTGTATTCTGATTTCTTCAAGTGATTTTCCATTTGGGTTTTTTCTTTAATTGTTGCATTATTTGTGTTTTGTTTTCGATTTATCCAGATTCAGCTTCATTTATCTTTCTTGAAGTGACAAAAAGTGATCATGTTATGCATTCAATCTCTTGATCCCATCTGAATTAACGATGGTTATTTGAATATAATAGGCTTATGCTCTCTTAGAGTTAATCTTCCAGTTTGGCATGAAAGATTTCTCACCATTCTACAATAAATTGCGGCTAGCTATTAATTTTTACTTATGAAGTTTAAGAACATTGATTGGAACTTGTTCCTCGTCCCTCTTTTACTTATGTAGAAGATTTCAAGACTTGCAGTCCTTTGGTGGAATAAACCACGTTAAACCATACTCGTCAACTGGCCTTGTTTCTGAGTTAGCCTCAAACTGCAAAGCTAGTAAACTGTTTTTGGGCACCAGGGGTTCATTCCAAACAAGAGCCACAGTGATATCTGGAGAAGGAGGAATTTTGTCTTCTTCCAATGGCAATGCTGTAGTGGCGAACAATACCAATAGTTTTCCCATTGATGAAGATGAATATGATTTTGATCGTCCAACAGAAGGTTTTGCTTCGGTAGCCGATGCCATTGAAGATATTCGCCAGGGAAAGGTTGTGAATTGTTCTAGTTTTTCTTTTTCTTCAACTTTTTGGCACGTCACATGGCATGGGAGCATTTATTTTTCTCCCTTGATTTTCAACTCTTCATCTTAGTGACATGGAATGTAATGTTGCAGATGGTGCTTGTCGTTGATGATGAGGATAGAGAAAACGAGGGAGATTTGATAATGGCAGCACAAGCTGCAACTCCTGAGGCCATGGCTTTCATTGTAAAGCATGGAACAGGAATTGTTTGTGTGGCCATGAAAGGTGACGATCTGGAGAGGTTACAGATTCCACTTATGGTGAACGAAAAGGAGAACGAGGAGAAACTTTGTACTGCTTTTACTGTGACAGTGGTATGAATTCTTCACTTGGCATTTCTTATAATCGTTCAATTTAATAAATGTAATCCAGTAAGAGTGCTCAAAATTACAGTTTTATGGCCTCTTTCTTCTGCTTAATATTTTTTAATCAGTTTGTCCATGTAGCGTGGTAATTTTCTATAGATTTAATGCTTTAAATTTCTTACAACTGTTTCTCCAGGATGCAAGAGAAGGTACAACCACTGGAGTCTCAGCTACTGATAGGGCAGCAACAGTATTGGCACTTGCATCAAGAGATTCAAAACCTTATGATTTTAAGCGGCCAGGCCATATATTTCCCCTCAAGTACAGGGAAGGTGGTGTTTTGAAGAGAGCTGGGCATACTGAAGCATCTGTCGATCTTGCAATGCTCGCTGGATTAGAACCGGTTGGTATCCTTTGTGAGGTAGTTGATGAAGACGGTTCCATGGCTAGGTTACCAAAACTTCGTGAGTTTGCCAAACAGGAAAACTTGAAAATCATTTCCATTGCTGATTTAGTCAGGTAAATTGATATCTTTCTTGCTAAAGTTTTGATTGTGTTAGCTTGCGTTCAGTTTTTCTATATTTTGAAATACTCTTCATATGAAAACAAGTTTCTTGCTTGGATAATGATCACAATCTTCATTCCCAGCTAACAACAAAACAATCATTGTTGGTTTGTTTTGTTTTTTTTTTTTTTTTTTTTCCCTCATTTATTTTGTCCCCCTGTTTAGTAATCCTACAAATCAAATATAATATATGAAGATATTGACAGATTTAGGCGGAAGAGGGATAGATTAGTTGAACGTGCTGGGGATGCTGCTCGCATGCCGACTACATGGGGTCCATTTCAGGCATATTGCTACAGATCTATTTTGGATGGAATTGAGCATATTGCAATGGTTAAGGTAACTAACTACTTCTGTTTCAAAGGGCAAAGCTTTATAAAAACATTTGCTATTACTGGTGGAACTATATAACGCTTTTGTTAGTGTACACGGTGATCCTGCCCCATACCATTTGAAGAAGTAATATTATTCGAGTCTCTTGAGATGGTCTACCTTTTTAGTTCCTAAATTCAGCCAAGTACCAAGCTCGAGTGTGTGTGGATGCCTGGTGTACTCTAATATGGATTTTCAGTGTCATAATGTATAAATTTACGTCCTACTTGCTTTGTGCAGGGTGATATTGGTGATGGACAAGATATCCTAGTGAGGGTACACTCGGAATGCCTCACTGGAGATATTTTCGGATCAGCTAGATGCGACTGTGGGAACCAGCTTGCTCTAGCGATGCAACTGATCGAGGCAGAAGGCAGGGGTGTCTTGGTTTACCTTCGTGGACATGAAGGACGGGGCATAGGTTTGGGCCACAAACTTCGTGCATATAACTTGCAAGACGCTGGGCGAGATACTGTCGAAGCCAACGAGGAGCTAGGATTGCCCGTGGATTCTCGTGAATATGGCATAGGCGCACAGGTAGAACAACGAAATGATTTGATTGGATCACATGACTAAATTCTTTATTTTAACAAAATCTAATCGTTCTCTTGGTGGCTTGCAGATTCTAAGGGATCTTGGGGTGAGAACAATGAAACTAATGACAAACAACCCAACAAAGTACAAAGGCCTAAAGGGTTATGGCTTAGAAGTTTCAGGTAGAGTTCCCCTGATAACCCCAATTACAAAGGACAACAAGAGATACCTAGAGACGAAGCGTGCCAAAATGGGGCACGTCTACAACATGGATGTTGGTGGACGATTTAGAAATCTGATCGATGGGCATGAAATATCCAACGGTAGTTCAGCATCAAGTGATGCTGTGGCTTGAGCTAGCAATGTCCAAATTCAAAGAGAAAAAAAAAAAACAGTTGGTTATTAAAGGTGTTGGAAGTGAAATGACTGCTGCAGCTGCTGGCTGACTCATAAGATAAAAGGCTAACTTGTTCTGAATATCATAACACTGCGTATTATAATTATTATTGATTTCATTTCATTTGTCAGGATTATTGTTTGATTAAGTTTGAAACAATAGACCATTGATGATCTGTAGAATGAGTTTACAGTGCTACTCGCTATGGTTCCTAAGCCGTCACATACGCCTTCTCTTATTTTAGCTCCTTTTCCTGTTTGGTTTGTCTGACTGCACGAAAAATGCCTTTTTTTGTAAAGCTTTTGATATATAGCCTTTTCTACTATAAAAGAGAAAAAAAAAAAAAAAAAAAAAAACCCCCCCC